ACCAACCGCAAAAACAGTTCATCTAATGTGTTTGGTGCATTAGGTAGTTGTCGTAGTCGTCTGCCTATGATGTCCCAAACATGTTCTATTGGGTTAAGGTCAGGACTTCTCGCAGGCCAATCCATGGCAGGAATTCCAACCTCCTGACGATACTGCTCCACAATTCTTGCCGTGTGTGGCCTGGCATTATCTTGCATAAGCATGGAATTATCCCCAATAAATGGTACAAATGGCACGACATGCTCTTCTAAAATGTCTGTTATATACCTCTGCGATGTAAGCCGACCGTGATTTATTTTAACTAATTCCGTACGAGCCTCTAAATTAATCCCACCCCATACCATTACCGAGCCGCCGCCATACTGTACAGTCCCTACGGTGTTACACTGTGCGTAGCGTTCCCCAGGCCTTCTATATACTCGGTTTCTCCTGTCATCAGAAAAAAGACAGTACCTGGATTCATCGGTGAACAATATTCTTCCCCAATCGTCATTATTCCAATCAACATGTTCACGAGCAAAATTCAATCTTTGCCTTCTATGGTCTCTGGTCAATAATGGGCCAATTGGTGCCCTTCCAGGGTGTAGGTCGTTTTCGGCAAGTCTTCTTCTAATTGTATTTTGGCTGATTGTAAAGTTATAACGATCCAAAAATTCATTTTGTAGAGAAGTACTGGAAACAAACCTTTGTCTCAGTGTACGAAGTGTCAAAAACCATTCTTGATTAGGAGTTGTAACCCTTTTACGGCCTTGACCGGGTCTTCTCGAGTTACTTCCAGTAACAGAAAAACGTGTTAACACTCTTGAAATTGTTGACTGGGTGACGTTAAAACGTTCAGCGAGTTCTACTTGAGTGTATCCTTCTTCGCGAAGAGTAACGATTCTAAAACAGTCACTTTCTGACAAATTTCGATTTTTTTGCTGCGGGTGGTTCATTTCAAAGAAAAAACACTAAATAAACTTGAAAAACCCCTTTAAACGTTCAGCACAACGAAATCCAACCCAACTAAATTCGAAATAAAATGAAGCACAATTAGCATGTTTTTAATTTTTTGCAAAAAAATGATAAAAACATCAGCGTTTTTTACCGTTCTTTCGATAAATTTTACAATATACCGGGGGTAACGATAATATATTAGCACAAAAATCGAAACATTAAAATTATTTAATTTACCAGGGTTTTTAAAATTATGCGTTAATTTTGGGGTGCAGTGTATATATATATATATATATATATATATATATATATATATATATATATATATCTATATATACCAAAGTTACTATGTTCTAGAATATTCCCACCTCTAATTCGCCTAAGTAACGGGTTGTTCTTTCTCGCACTCGATATCCCTGGAAACTTCGAGTCGCTTTCGACATGTAACCGCTACACGGGACGCGCTGAATGCATGTTCGTAACACTGCTCCATTCTTATATCTGAGCGTCCCGTTCAGCAACTCTATATGTAGGCCCAAGATGGCGAAATCTACAGGATTCGCCAGCTCTGCATTAACCCCTCAGAAAGAAATAACAGTCTACTGTCTTTGAAGGACACGATCTCTTCGGATTAGTAACACACAGTAATTCTTACTCCGGTTTCTTGGAAGATCACTTCAATCATGCTTCTGACAATCTTTCAATCCAGATTATCTAGTGCATGCGTGCTCTAACCGATTCTTCAAATTAGTTGGAGCACGCCATATATCCTCGTAGGTTGCCCTGTCTGTATACGACTTCCTGGTCACCATATACAGCAAAGATCGAAAACCATCTTCTAATCTCAGTACTCTTTCAACTTTAGGCTGCTGGTTTTTTAACTCGTCCAAACGACCGAATTTCTTATAAAATAGAGATGAGATTCCTTTAGTCATCTCAAGATCTTGGGCAACACAGTGGGCTAGAGAGACGTTATGCGGAACAGTAAAAAGATCCTGCTGAACGTCTGTCCTCACTCTGAATCTTACACTCTTTCTCTCTGCATAATTTGACATAAACTCGTTAAAGCTTAGTTGCCGGTCATCTTTGACCTCATGTTGAAGGGTTCGGGCTTCTTCTATTTCATTTGAGCCAGCATAAGGTGCAAGACGATTTATGTGAACCACTTTTGGTTTACCTTTCGGCAACTTCTTAATTCGGTATATTACGTCATTTATTCTCTTTTTAATTGCATACGAACCCTACTATTGTCTTTGCAGTTAAGGAGACAAGCCACGATGACGTTGTGGATTATAAAGCCAAACAAGATCACCTACTTCATAGCTTTCATTCTTGCATCGAGAATCGTATTGATCTTTCATTCTGTAACTGGCTAACTGGATGTGTTGTCAGGCAAGTTCATGAATGTTGTTCATTCTTAATGGTTCAGGTGGTCGACATAATGTTCACTTGCAACATCAGGCAAGATTTTTATTCTATTTTTCGTACAAATATGATATACAATATTAATCTAATCTGCATTACTGCTTTGATAAAATAAGTCGATTTTTTTGGAGCTTATCTTATTAAATCTTGCAATGTTTATTGAACTTTACTTATTTACATACATTTTATTTATTTTCTTTACATACATTGGTTTAAAAATTAAAATTTGGTTCATTCATTCGACTTCACTGTCAGCCCTGAACCTTTTTGTTGCAGGTTATTTGTATTCATTTATTAAGTCGGTCTATAAATATACATCTTCAGAATCACTGTCATCATCAAGCGTAACTGTACCGAGGTTGCAGCATATTTTATATATATACTCTAACTGCAGTAGAGTATAGAACCACAATCACCTCACAACCAGTTCTCATTATATTTTCTTTATTTGCATTGGAATCGTAAAAAATATCCATGAAACTAAGAGTTTCTTCGTTTGCGTTGATTAATTTAAATTTCCCCTGATTATAAATAAAATATTACACAAGATAATTTCTTTAGATTTAATTTACAATGTAATCAAAAATTTTAAAAATTACCTCGTAAAGAGTACAAAAAGAGTAAACACTGATCTGCTCCTTTTGAATATAAATATGTTTCAGATGTCTAAAATAAATCAAAAAAAGATTTTTTTATTATTAATGAAAAATCAGAATAATGCAAGCTTATATAGAACGAATCTTTTAAAAATATATAAAGTTATAACAAGCATAATCGTATTTCTAAAATTTGTAAAGACTTTTTATTTTATTAAGTTGAAATTTAATTATGGTTATAAACAATAAAGTAAAAGCAATAAAAATATTTTAAAACAAAGGTTTAACTTGCATAACAATAATTTAACAATTTATAAAACAAAACTTGAAACAGGACAATACTTACCTACTTTGAAACTACTACTGCTTGAACAAGTTATTGCCACTTGTCTGCTGTTTATTATGAAATAATCTATAATAAATAATATTTTTCATCGATTATACAAGTTGAAAATAAATAATTACTTATTTATTCAATAGTTTTAAATATTACTTACAATTTTCAATCCAAAAGTAATTAAATACGTTTAGCTAAAACTTTTTTGTTCGAAATACACAAAACATTTTACTCAAAAGAAGTAGAATTATATTGCTTTCTAAAGCCACTACACTGAGACTGACGAAATTTTGGAGTATGAAGCTAAAACAGTTTTCCCTCCACTTTCCTATGTCGATCTTTCGAAAGTACCTTCGTTTCAAAATGCTGTAAGTTTCAAAAAATTGGATTAATTTTATAGTTATAAGCTTCAATATAAAGTTTAGATTTTCATTCAAAATTTGTGCAAATTTCACTTGTTAATGTTTATAAACAATGGAGATATGATTTTTTTAAAATAGTCGCTAACTTCGTTCCTATTGGCCACATAAGGTTTATTTATTTTTTTAAATGTGAGTTTTTTTACCAGCTATCCAATGGTTGTACGTACAAATCTGTATTTGTAAATTGTTGTAAATTTAAAGGACGGTAATTCCTCGATGTTTTAATGTATTAATAACATTTTACTTCATTAATAAAAAAATTAATAAAATTTATACATTTTTGCAAAAAAAACTGCTTTTTTGCAAATATCTCCGTAAATTATTTATCAATTTTAATTCAAAAAACGGCATAATGAAGATATTCTTGAAATAAAAAAAATGATGTAAATATTATATATTTAAAATTTAAGGGAAAAAACTTATAGACAAAAAATCAAATTGTGGCCATAAATTATTGTTAAAAAAAACGCTAGGTAAAAATAGTAGTATCTTTTCATTTATTCCTCATCTAGTAACCCCCACCCATTACAAGCTTCAGATACCTGCGAAACATTTTGCCGTGAAATCGACGATTTTTGCATAATCAGACTGGGCTAATATACCAACACGGTCAAACAGCGGTAATTCTAGTAAACGTTTATTTGATTATGAAATTATGTACGATTAGCTCACAGTGAAATAACTACAAAAAAAATTCCTATTTTTATCACAGAATTCAATTTATTTTTTTCGTTTTATACCTATACAACTTGGTCTTGTAGTGAAGAATAAATAATGTAAATAACTCAATAACGACTTTTATTTTTTTTCCTGTACATCAATTTGCAAATGTCAAAATATCTACAAATTCAATTTGATGGAATTATATCACTTTTACAATGAACGACACATATACCTATTATGTCCATATTATCGATACAAGCGATTCAGTTTGGTTTGTTTCAAAAAATCCAAAATAAAAACATCAACTAAAAAATGTATTTTAAAATTTGTGATATAGTTCTAAATGGTTTTAAAAAGGTTCGCTTTGAGAGACATCTCTTGTACGTTTCGTAGTTCATGCAAAGTAGTGCCATCTAGTTAAAGTTTATTCTCTACGTGGTAGAAAATCCATGCAGTAATATGTTGATAGTCCAGTTAACATAGGAAAAGATTTTACGTTCCACAATAGTTACGATTTTGTCGTATCGATGGCAGTGTATGCTATAATACAAGGGATGACAGCCCTACTTGCCGCATAGGGTGAATCTAGAGTATGGTTCAAAACCCGATTCAATAGTTAGTGGCAAGTAAAACATGAAACTCCAGACAAGCGATCAATCAAATTACAAGTCCCTTATCGTTTAAAACTTATGACAGCTAGCTTAATAGTAATTATTATTTAACTAATACAACATTGCTATTAATAACCGATTATTAATAATGTTTAATGGATTTGGAGGAAATACAAAAGAATACTTCAAATCAAGGTAAGTGTTGGTAGTGTATTTTTTGTGTGTCTTTTTTAGCAGCTTTTAATTAATGTACTACTGAGGGATTTTGGTGCAACATGCCAATTCCTATGTGTGATCAATATATTCAGGTTAAGCATTTATATGTGCTAAATTCTAATAAGATTTAAATTGTAAATCATTTTAGAAATTAATTTGAAATAAAATATATTACCCAACACCAAATTGTGCCAACTATTTGATTGTTTTAATTTTAAAATAATCGTTGAAATGATTTTTACATTTTTTTTTCAATAACCGGTAGGAGTTTATGTATTAACTAATTGGATATTATCGAAAAATAAAATATATAATGTAATGACTGAAATCAATATAATATTAGATACTATTAGATAAAGTATTCAGTGGATATAAATTTTAATGATAATTGCTACTAGGTAATGCATTGCATGACGGTGATTATTCCTCCCCCTTTGTGTGAACGCTGCGGTTCTATCACGCTTTTCATATTACCATGACAACCCATAAACACTAGGGATTAAAAATCTAAATTATGCGGTATGATACGAAACCAAATTTTACGAAAATAGAACACGGACTATTTTGTTTCGTATAAAAAAAACTCCAGGTATATTTCTACGATAAAAACGCAAATATCTGCCTACGTGAATAATAAATTTGTGTTATGCTAAGATCTTCCACAGTGATAACAAACCTAAAAAAACGCCTTGTGTGAGTATTGTTCTTTAATGAATATAGTAACAATTTATTCCTAAGGGTTAAACCTAAGAGTGGAGAGTTGAACATGCTAATTTTAAATGTACAGGTTGTTTCATTGCAGAATTAACATACGTTAACCGTCGCGCACAGTTAGGCGATTGCAAAAAGGCGATACTCAATATGTCTTACTCAATAACCAAGATACAAGACGTTTTTAGAAAGCAATAAGAACAATTTTTTTTCTTATTTAAGTAATGTACACCTTGTCAAATTTAAGGTGATACTTGACAAATTTGTCCACTTGCGTAGAAAATTAAATGAGAATGCATTCGGAGCAAAAGAGATACATAATGCGCTCGGTCTCTTCGCCTCGGTGGTACACTCCATACTACAAGTTGTACACACTTGTACAAGTTTACAGAGAGTGACCTTATTTATTAATGGAACTTCTATGATATATCTATATTGTATGTTATTTTGACGTTTCAATTTTTCCTTCAGAAATTTTTCTCAAAATACAAAATATTTTGTTTTTGTTACTTGGTAAAAAAATTCTAATAATTATATTTTATTTGACTCATTAATATTGACCATTCAGTCATGTTGAAGCGGCAGTTTTTTCGAACACTTCTATAAATGTCTCGTTCTGTAATTTTATAAGAGGAATATTGGCAGTGTCTTATGTTTGTTATTATGAAATAATATACTTTTATTCTTTTTAAGTTTTACTTGAAATCTTACATATTACAATGTGCTTAACCTATGTTCGTTAAGTGGCCTGAAGTTGGCCATGGTCTTCTTAAAGCTGTCATAGTCATATGCTTAGAACATAAAAGTAGTTCCAAGGCCATATGAGGCATCTTCCCCTTATACACTTTTTTAACAAAACTACAACTGAGAAACAAAAATAACTATTCTGACTATGCTCTAAGAGTACATATATGAAAGCTATGTCTAACTTATAACTAATCTTTATACCTACCTGGTTTTACAACAGCTCTACCAGACCTTGTTGTAACTGTTTTACTATTAATACCTAATTTCAGGTTACTGTTACAATTCAAGTTACTAGACACAATTTTGGTTGAAACAGTTGGTTCATTTGAACAAATCTCAGGCTTAAAGTTATTATTGTTATTATTATTAATATTTAACCTTGTTTGTGAGGAGCTAGGTTCAAACCTAATGAGTGGAGACATATATTCTTTCTGAATGGGAGGATATTCATTTGGTGATGGTCTTAAAAATGAAATATTTCAAAGTTATCCCGAGCCATATACGACCTAGGAGCATCACATTTCCCTACAATTTGCCCTGGTATCCAGTGTTTCTCATTTTCTAACCTGATTATTACACTATCACCTACCTTAAATTCTGACCTACCTTTCGAACTTTGATCGTAATGAATCTTATCCTTGTTCCTATTTTCAGCTAGTTTCTGTGACTCACTATTCAAGGATGGTCCCAAATGTTTACCTGAAAGGGGAAAGATACTACGCAACTGTTTCTTAAAAATTAATTCTGCAGGCGAAATATTGCACCCTGCTAAAGGAGTGTTCCTATATTCTAATAACGCCTTAAAAACGTCTGTATTTGATTCTAGACTTTTCTCAAAATATTTTTACATATATCTACTGCCCTTTCTGCAAGACCATTAGATTTTGGATATAACGGACTTGATGTTTGAATTTTAAATTCCCAATCTTTAGCAAAACTGTGACATTCGGCTCATTAAATGGCATATTGTCAGCAATCAAAATCATAGGTATACCAAAAGTTGAAAATATTTGTTTTAATTTATAAATCACATCGCCAGAGGTTTTAGACTCTAACTTTTCTAGCTCAATCCACACACCCCACACCTGACACCATGTCTTAGGTTTGTTATTATGAAATAATATACTTTTATTCTTTTAAAGTTTTACTTGAAATCTTACATATAACAATGTGCTTAACCTATGTTCGTTAAGTGGCCTGAAGTTGGCCATGGTCTTGAAGCTGTCATAGTCATATGCTTAGAACATAAAAGTAGTTCCAAGGCCATATGTGACAAACAGAGATGAAAGCTTTACATTTGCGTTACAGTAAGCTGTATAAGAATAAAAGAACAGTAGTTAATCTTATACCTGGAACATACCGACGAAACATTTATTACTTAATTTTTATACTAGAGTTGTCGTAATATTTAATATTATAGTCATATATTTTTATTCTTCGGATCATATACGCTCTATTTGCTATAGCCTTCGACATATAGGAGGGTTGGGGGTGGTTTTTTGAGGGTTAAAGTAATCCAAATGTTATTATTTTGACGAGCTACCCCAAATTTGCGAATTTTTCCAATTTAGTTTTTTTCTCGTTGCGCAAAGTCATCCCCACCACTACTTCTGTGTCATCGCTTGAAAAAAGGTAATCTGTATTCGTCATTTTTCACAATAAATAATGATTTTAATTTAAGGAGAATACAAATACTTGAAAATATAGATTTTTAAGCAGTGAATGGCGCCAGATTCGTTTCTTAACTGTTATTAACCCTCCGTTTATCGGGTGACCAGTCTGAAACACTTTCGGTCGGGTGTGGTCTGTGAGGACCAAAATGAAATACCGCCTCCCGAGCAACAGCATACATTTTATTGCTAATTTCGCATCAAAATGTTTTAAACAAATCATTTACTATATAATGTTTATTACGGAAACAATTCCAAAATTTTTTAAAGTTGTATTAGATAAATTTTAAAAATGTTTACAATTTCAACGCATATTTTTCAAATTTGTGAACAGGGACTAAATAATGAAAAAAAAAAAGAAGATTTAAGACTTTAATTAGAAACAAACAAAGTACTACAAAAATATCTATAAAGTAAAAAATTAAATTGTGGACACAAACTGCAGTAGTCAAAGTTTTGTGGTCAAATTTTCTAAGCAATCTTTGCAGCATGCCATTATGTGGTCCGTACATAGCCAGGATTTGCAAATTTTGCAATATTTACAATTTCCTCTCTTACCTGGCTGGGGCTCTGGTACAACGACGACCTCAATGCCTGGGAGTCTCAAGGCCGAAGCACGCACAGCTTTTGTCAAATGCGTGTCAATTGCTCTCCGTCTTATACTCTCCTGTACCAATTCCATAGGTACCTAGGTTTTTTTGGAATAATCTTCGCGTTTTGGAAAACTCTCTATCTGGGTTGTTGCCTTTGTAAATTAAAAATGCATTAATTGCTGCGAGATTAGGGAGATTATAAACTACTACCATTGGCCAACGTTTCGTATTTCTGGAAACATTATATGATGTGATCATTCTGTCTACAACATCTACTCCACTCTTTGTGGAATTATAAACATTAATTATTTCTGGTTTTCTTCTGATCACCAGTATCTTCCTCAATCCGATCATCTCTGTGCACAGTGGAAACAGCATTTTTTTCATTTCTTCGGTATACATAATTAGGGCAGTCAGTGAACTGACGTATTTTCTCGGAACAATGAAATAATCCAGTTCATAAAAATGCACAGGATTGCCAAGTGAAACAAGATTGCAAGAAAAATACAACTAAGAAGCAGTGCAAATATTGTTACACATTTGATCGGGTGGGGTCTGTCAGCACAAACTGCCGTGCAGCAGCTATTTAGAACTTAAGAACAGTTTTGTATAAAAAAAACTAATGGTATTTAGTTTCTAGGAAGGTACTGAAAAGGTAGAAATTTAAAAAAATAAAATGAGAGAATTATCCAAAATTTTTATTTTGTCGTAGACTCACAGACCACACCCGATGAACGGAGGGTTTAAAAAAATACTCTTAGGTGATTTCGTACTGTTTTCTAATAAATAAATATATAATAAAATAATAAAATAAAAGAACATGCCTTTTTAAAGAAGTCTTCTATTTTCTTTTGCGTTTTCATTTGACAACGATGTTTTGAAGATATATCTCTCCATCGTTCATTTGTAGAACGCCATGAGATTGCCTCATTTGATTGTTCGACGAAACGTTAAGCAATCTGAAAATAAAAAAACTTTATGCAACGACAACAAAAATTAAGAACCTTAGAGTCGTCACGACTATAATAGTCGTGTCCCTAACTAATTATGCCTACTGTATAAAAGATCATTGAAAATCTCGTCGGCGGTCTCGTGCTGCCTATTGTCTGGCAGTTGGGTCGTCATTTCCGTCATCTGATACGCTCAGGTTGTCTGGATGACGAACGATATAGCACACCAGCACACCAATAAACAACATGTTTCATTGTTAAACATTTGTGAATTTCAGGAACTCTTTTGGATTCATTAGTCTCCTGTA